AATAAAATAATAACAATAATAATTATACAATATCGGAATATTAATCTAATAAAATAATAAACGGTTCTATAACAGTACCAAAGATTTACGGATATAATAAACCTGAGGACTTCAATTCATATCAGTAATTCTTCTTTTAGCCGGACCATGCTCTAATTCGCCAGGCTTAAGAAGATATCTCACTATGTCAAAATGGGATAAACAAGGTTCATCATATCCGATAGGTCTCCTATGTTTTATAGCTGGTTTTGCAATTATCTTTTTCCCTTTTAATGCTTTTTTTACCACTTCATTAGGAGACATACCTATTAGCCGAGTAGGGGTGCTATTAAAATTATCATCATTAATGCGAAGGCTTCTAACCCAGTCTCTAGAACGTTTTGATAAAGGTAACAGTAAATCTTTAGCATCTTGTTGAATAAAAGAGTGTTTTTCAAATTCCTGGTGATCACGCTCTGCTATAGCATTGCCTTCCTTAGATTTAGCATACTGAATTCTTGCGCTATACCTAAGTAATAAATCTTTACACTCACCCATATATTCAGTTCCTTTGTCTACGATTAAAACTTTCGGCCAGCTAAGTGGGCAATTCGAATCATTATAAATTTTCTTAATTGCTCTAGCTATTTGTGAAGCTGTTTTATCAGTCAAAGCGAAACTACATCAATATCTGGTTGCAATATCTTTTATTACGCCTCTATACTTGTAAATTCAATTGCCAACCTTGTCATGAGGCATAGGCATAGTATCGGATTGGTGTACTTCATTTAAAATTTGTATATTATTAAAAGAGGCGTACTGAATAAAATTAGTATGGGGTTTGTGAATCTAATGCAAAGCCTGCCGGTTTAGCCATTTTTTAATCTCAGTAAGAGAAAACTTATGTCCGGCTTTCTCGCAAGCACCCTGCATTTTTTTAGCAGTTCGATAATAGCCTTCAGGTCGATAGTATATCTCTCGTAGAATAAGATTTTTTTCAATTCTCTGGGCCTCATCTGGATCGATATAAATAACTGGCTCGCCCATTCTAATTTTTTTCTTTTATAGTAAATAAAAATATGGAGGAGTTACAACAAAGTAACCAAGAACTCCATGAGGTAGTATCGCAACTAGCAGAATCAAATAAAAATTTTGAAAAACGACTATATACCTTAGAAAGAATTATAGGTATACAAGAAGAAAGAATATGATTTCTTGAAGAAGAATTGAATAGTGTTATCGAACTTTCTATACAAGAGAAAGAGGAATTAATAGAAGAAATATCAAAACTAAAAAGAATCGTTCATCAACTCGAGGAAGAAAATAAAAAGAAAGACAAAGAAATTTCTTATAAAGATATATTAATATCAGAATTCGATGAGCGAGAAACAAAATTAAAAAACCGAATACGAGAAATATCAAAATCAGCTGGAAACACACCTAAAGCACAAGATTATACAACAAGATTAGTAAATGAAAATGAACAGCTTAAACGAGAAATAAATACAATAAGGGTTAATCAAATAAATAGGATTAACAAAATAAATCAACAAAAAAATTGTATTACAAGCCTTCTTTGCCAAAATTTTGCACTAGCATTCTTAAGATACTGAGATAGATTCGAACTTAGAAATACCAGAGAGGCTTTGCAAAATGCACAAGCATGGAATAATAATAAAGACGAATCTGATTCAGATGAAAATTCTTCAGATTTATATAATTTTGATTTAGACATGGCTACAATAGCTGAATTGGCCGATGCTATAGACCGATCTCTAGGTGATACAACAATATGTAGAACTATTTTAACAAATCAAATTAAAAGATCAACAAGAGCAATTCGACGAAAATATGCTAATCTGCAACAAGATTTGGTGAATGAACGGTGGAACCGTGATATATATAGGCAGAAGCGCGATCAAGCGGTGCAGGAGCGTAATCAGTTATGAACCAATGCTCAGAATCAAGTAAACAGAATGATAAATAATATAGCAAGAAAGCAAACCCATATTGGTGAATTGCTAGGAGAAAAGCTAGCCCTTCAGCTAATATATCAAAGGTGCAAAGCTGAGGCTGACTTGTCAGAATTCAATCAAGCCTGGATATTTAATCGGTATCAAAAATGGAAGGCTCAGGAAATTAATTCTCACCAGAATATTTTAAATTTAAATCAACAAATTTTTGCACTACAGAATAACCCACCTAATATACAACGAATAGAAATGGTTGGATTTGGACCCTGATATTTTATGGACGTCCTGGAGAAGATCCAGAAGACTTCCTTAGAGATTTTCAGAGATATGTAGCAGCTAGTCGAATAAACGTAGCTCCTGGAGCGGGCCAGGCAGCCGGAAGAGAAGAGGCTTTAGGTTTATTAATATCGTGTCTTGAAGGTGATGCTAAAAGATGGTATGAAACCCGCATTAATGATAAAAATTGGAAGTGTAATAATCTCTCAGACAATCTAGGTGTAGCAAACTTGAATGCGGTTCATGGAATAGACGCTGGGAATGGAAGTAATCAAATTGGTGGTTTGAACACTGCAGGAGAATTTCGCAATACATGTGCTACAGAAATTAGCAGAATTAGAGCGGGAATCGCAACTGGTACTAATATTATTCCAAATGGAACGTGGGATGAAGACTGGTCTATAGCTGGTGGTGAACCTACAAATAATGCGGTAGTAGTCCCGAATACGGCTGGTGGTTTTCCCGCTGTTATAATTGCTCCTGGAATCAAACTTGGCCAGCTTATTTTCTTACTCAGAACTGCCTATACAACCGTCGAACATTTAAAACAAATGGCAGTTTTTGGTCAACTTATGCAAGGAAATATGGGCATTGAAGAGTTCTCTGCTAAAATCAAAAAGGTTGGTAAAATAGCTAGAATGGCTCCCGAACAACAAAGAGAGCAATTTATTTGTGGCTTAAATCCTATGAATCAGTATAATATTCGAATGATGGCTAAGTTTAATGATACGCAAGATAATATTACAGAAGCCTTAGCCGAAGCAGAAAAATTTACATTATCTCAAAAGAGTGTGCCATCTTCTTTTCCAATTTTTCCGACAGCCAACCCTTATGCAGATACTAACAAATCAGAGATGACTAAAACTGAAATCGAAGATTTGATAAAAACTACAATGACATCTACTCAATCTGCGCCAGGTGACAAGTTGAAATGACCTAGTCAGATGGAGCCAGATAAGATACATCGTGATCCAAATTTGCGATTGAATGATCAAGAATGGTTGCGAAGCTCTGATACTCTAGAGCGTCTTAACAACATGGCTGGCCCATCTACTATACAAACACTAATAGATACAATTACTAAAGGGATAGTTAATAAATTCTCCTCCCTTTTACCCCATAAGAGTAGTTCAAAGAATGAAGATTCTGATGAAGAACTTGCTAGACTTACAAAAAGACAGTTAAACTTACATATGGCCAAAGCTGTTAAAAAGGTTATAAAGACACACCAGAAATGCTCCAATTGTGGTAGATCTGGACACAATTCTCGAAACTGTCCTCGAAAGAAGAAAAAGAGAAGCAAGAAGTCTAAAAAGAGTAAGGTTAATTTCGCTACTGTAAATTTGGATTCAGATTCAGGTACTTCCTCCGATACTTCTTCTAGTGATAGTTCTAACTCTGATACAAGTTCAGAAGATTCTTCTGATTCTTCTGATTCAGAAAGCGAACTTAGTGTTAACATATCTAAGTTAAAAAAAAAGTGAAATGGGACTCTAGCTCCAAGAAATCGTCCTTTGAAAAGATGTTTAAAACTCCTTTAGAGGGAGTTATTCGTAAAATCCTTCAAAGTGAACTTAAATTAATTTTTCCTGATCATTTTTCCCAAGACTCTATTAAAGCTGATATACCAAATCAAGCGCCTCTATTCCAGGAAAAGATAGAATCTCAAAGCAATACTTCTCCAATTGCCGAGATCATATCGCCAGACCCAGAGAAGGAAGACTATTTAGATGGTCCGATGGAGATTGATTTCGTTAAAAAGAAAGAGCCACCTACGAGCGTTGCGACCATAAAGTGTAAAATTAAGCGCTTAAAAATCCCTGCTATGACCCTCGATTCTGGAGCAGAGCCTCTTATAGTGACTGAAAATATTGTTGATCGCATAAAGGCTAAAATTGATAAGTCTGAAACGCATGATCTTAGTGGTATCGCCACTATTCCAGTTGAATCTATTGGAGTGGTTCGCAATTTACCTATTATTTTAGCCTCGGGTCTTACTATTTATGAAGATTTTATTGTCGTGAGATATAACAAGCCAACCCTAATATTTTCTAATCAGCTATTAAAGAAATATAATTGCGCTGTGGATTGGGGTAAAAACGAATTAAAGTTTTCTCATAATAGAAAGGATTATATTATTCCGGTAACCATGCATAAGGTCAAAAATAAGCTCGAAGTGAACTGCGCGAACATTGCATCACAGGGTGAGGAGTCTACATCTTTAGACTGCATTTCGCAGAACCTGCAGGACTTAAGTGGGGATGATGATATATTAAAAAAAAAACACGTGAGCTATGAGGAACTCAAAAAAATGTTGTATGATACTCTCAAGTCTAAAGAAGATCTCAATGAATTGTGCGAGAAATTATTAGTACACCATAATAAATTAAATAGGCTATTATAGGACACAGAGCAGAAAATATCTTTTATACAGCTAATTTACGACGCATTTCAGCTTTATTTTTTTCACCCCGCCTACCTTCTTTTTCATAATATGCATGCAGATCCTCTTTGCTAATATTCAAATCTTCCGAGCTTTCAGACGTTAGCTGATTCTGAATAATAGATAGTTCAGAGATGCCAGCAGACATAGATTTGGGTTTTCTTCTTCCAGTTTTTTTCGTCTTACTGCCTCCTTCCAAAGCTGAATTGGTTGATTTGCTAGGCTCTACTACCATATTATGTATTTTATTTTCCAGTTCTGCGAAGGGGGAAGTATTTTGGCCATGTATATCTGACTTAGTCTGTTCTATATTACCAGTTTGGGAATTCTCATCCAAAACAGGCTGAGATGAAATAACCCCTTGTTGGAGGCGTTCTTTATTATCCCATATTTCATAAACACGCTTAGGTCCAATATGGAATTTACTAGCCATTTTTTTTGATGCATTAGGTATTTTACCTCTGGATTCTCTTATTTCCTTGATATCAGCTTCTAATAACAGAGTTGCCTTAGCATCATAAAACGTATCATGGATATGGGCTACCATCTTCACTGGATTTTATATATTAAAAAATATATTAATACTCTTCAATAAATATCAATGCATATCAATGTGTGTATATTAATACTTTTCAATGTGCATCAATATCTTTCAATCCTCACCAATGCGTATTAATGCTCTTCAATATATATTAATATATTTCAATACCCATCAATACGTATTAATATGTATAGTATTCATAAAAAAAATAAATTGCAATATATTTTTTTTCCTGCTAATGAAACCATCCCAAGATTATGTCCAATGTGCATACATTAAAAGATATAAAAGATAAAGAAGGTCCTAAGGGGGCCAGGCATCGGCTGGGTAGTGCATATGAAGAAGAGCTCAAAAAAAAATTATATTCTGCTCTTAGATTCAAAGCCGAAATTAATGATCTTAGCAAAGAGTTGCTGGCTAAGTTTTTAGAGAAAGAAAAGAGTTTTGATCGTATCTATGCTTATATTGGAGATAAGATTAGCCAGCTAAATGATGTAAATACTAGGCTTAGATTCTGAATTACTTCTGAACAGATGTTCCATAATGAGCTCGAAGCTGAACGTTCTGCTGAAATAGAATCACTCAAATCTTCAATTAAATCATTGAAGAGAGAAGCGACCTTGGCCCAGAAAGCTTCATCCGGTAGCAAAGCTAACGTTCTTTCTCTCGAAGCTAAGATAGGTGGATTAGAGACCGAAGTTGAGCGCCTGGAATTAGAACGTACATCTCATGACTCAAATATTGCTTCTCTTAAGGAGAAAGTAAGCAAATTAGATTCCTTTAGACTTGTATCAGAGCGAGCAAAAAAGGATTTAAGTTCAAAAAATTATAAATTGGATGCCGAGGTGAAGCGAAAGGGTTCTGAAATCACCTTTCTTGGGGCTAAAATAAAGGAACTAGAGACTGAGTTAGAAGAAAATACGCAAATATTTTTATTAAAAAATGGGTTAATTAGCTGTCTCAGGTCTAAAATAGAGGATTTGAAAGATCAGTTAGAACAACAAAAAAATTCAGGAGCGCACTCTTATGAAACATTGTCCTCTGATGATCAAACAGTTTTAGCGGAAGATTCTTTAAAACCGAGGCAGGAAAAAGAGGAGGGTTATCATATCCTGAAAACCTCATTTCGAGAGAGGATGGTACAAAAGCTATACCTTTGCCAACTGTTGCTCCTATCATTGCAGGCTGGTCATTTTGTGACCACTCTTTGTCACCGATAATAACATATTCCATACTTACCTTGCTACTGATTGCAATTATATGGTTCGTGGTCGGGAAAAAAATATAGAATGCATAGAAAAAATCGGATCCCTTACTGTACGAGAAAAAATATCCGCTTCAGATAAGTCATCTTTTTACCACAAACTCTTGATATAGAATTTATTTCGATATATTTTGTATATAATACTGTATGGAATTCTTTGTATATAGCATTGATGAGATCCTCAGAAAATCTTTTGAGCAAATGAAGGGCAATAAATATTCTCCTGACTGGCCTTTTCGCCTTTTAGTTACTAGGGGTTCACATAGCGGAAAAACTAATATAGTTATAAACCTTATTCTAGGCAACAAACTTCAGCGCATGTTTAAAGGCAAGAAGAGGGATAGATATATTAAAAATGATGATCTCGTTTTAGTTGGGAAGCATGCTGAGCCAAAATGAGAGCTGGTTAAAAATGCCATCTATATTTTTGCGAATAGCCCTGAGCCATATCAGGAGAATATCTCATTTCAAACAATAAAGGCAGAAAATATTCCAGATATAACTAGGTTCTCCTCCAAAAGAAGTACTGTTATTGTTTTTGAAGACCTCTGTGCCGAATCAAAAAAAATACAAGAGCGCATCATTCCTTACTTTATTAGTGGTTGGCACCAAAACATCTCACCAATATACGTAACTCAGAAATATCAGGCCGTACCAAAGATAATTCGTGAAAATATTTCCCATCTAGTCATGTTTTGAGGGAGTGGATCTAGAGAAAACATATGTAGGGTTGTGCGTCAATATATGGATAATCCGAAAAGAGCATCCAAGATTATTGACAAACATCTGCGGAATCAGAATTTCGTTGTTTTTGATTTCACTAAGCCAATCAACGATCCATTAGCAATTAGACTAGGCTGGGATACGACTCTGCAAGGCTTATCATAATTGATCGATAAAAATTTTATTATTTATGCGTTTTGCCGCGCCAATAAAAATAAATTCAGAAGAAATTGAAGGTTTGTCAGGTTTCCAGTTGCCGCGGCGAATAATTACATTCTTAATAGATGATACTTAGGGTATTCTTCTGCGTAATCTATTATATAAATATTGGCAGAAGAATACCCTATTGCGCCATCTTGTGCAGACAATGAAAACCAAGCATAATCCGCACCTGAACGGTCATTAGGCGCAGTGTTCCTGTGATCCTACTTTGTTCACGCACATATGAGTGAACTATCTAAAAAAGTGGCAACTGGAAAAAATAAAAATAAATTCAAGGTGCGACCCTGCACAATGCTAGATTTTCCCCTCTGAATTGATTTTTATTGGCGCCTCTGAATTCTGGAACAAATCAGACAAATTGAACAAATCAGACAGATTTTCGAAACCTTCATACTGTCCCAGAAATTTTTCAACTTTGTGAACTGAGTTCACAAAGTGACGTGCACGTTACAATTTGTAATGCTGATCGGCAACTAGAAAAAAATTGATGTACAATGTTGTGCGCCCCCTCTGAATTTATTTTTCTTGATGCACTTGTTGGATAAAATCCAACAAGCCGTTAAACCTGCAGAAGGAGATAGAGGCAAGGCAAAAGCGCAAAGAAAAAAGCGATCTAACTAATTTATAATTTCAAGTTAATAAAATGTGACCTGAGGTATTTTTATTGGCACCTCGATTCATTAGCAATTAGATTGGGCTGGGATGTGACTCTTCGATGAACTACAACCAAGATGACTTGTTTGTTCACAAACTTCCAAAGCGCTTAATTATAAAGTAAATATACACTTCATAGATTTTTATTTCATATTGGCACTTTTCTACCTGTGTCAGAAGTAGATAAATCAAAATTAATATAAAATATATTATCTAATCCCAATTGTGATCTCAAGAATAGCATTAGGAAAACGGTGAAGGACTATAAAAAATAAATAGTATATATGTTTATGTAAATTTCGAGGGGAATACATTCAAACTATTTCTTATCTAATAGCTCAGTGGACTAAACCACGGGAAGCTCATCAGGTCTTCATCTCCTCGCTATATAGACAATTATAGTCTGACGATCATGCCCTCTGCGATAGTGTTTTTATAAATGTAGAAAGAAAAAATAAATGAAATATACGACATGTTCTCAAGGGAGGGAGTATGCGGATCCTAAACCATTTAATGCGAGTTCCTGCACCATATTATTTCTCTAAACATAATATACAGTCAGAGGCCCTATCGCTTCAATGATAGAAACGAAATTTTTTGCTTGACTATCTCTAAAAAGACTATATTATTAAAAGACAGCTAGATTGCATATTTTTTGCAGAACAAACGAACTGCTATTGCCAAAGCACTGAGCCCTCTGCTCTGTTGAAGCAAGAAGATTGTGCGCATGTTCAATCACACAACTCGCCGAAGCAAACTCGTGTCAAATAGCTATAGAAGTCATCTTATCAACACAAAAACAACCTAGCGTGAAAAGGTGGAAGAAAGTGTATTATCAGTAAAAAAAATCAAAAATTTTATTACAAAAAAGATTTATATAAGGGGATACTATTGCCTTATACATAATAATTAATCTCATATAAATATTGTACAGTACGTGTTTGCATATAATTGTTAGCCTCATGTTTGTTTTTAAGGGCAGATTACTTGATAAGCTATAAATACCCATACATTCTTGTCGTGTATATATTAAATAAAGCATATACATATAAGATGTTCAATCAACATGCGCCTACGTATACAAACATTTTGTCAGTACACATGCGTCAAATGAGATTATGCAAAAATTCGATAATTTAAATTTCGCTTATTACTGTAATTGCTTTGATATCATCATTATCAAGAAAAAGCTCTTTTCTAGACTCCAGAAAATTAATAACAGCACTCGTACTCTATTCATTAATTTCTTCAGGCGAAGGAAGAGGATTATTGTTAGACATGGCTTGAAAAATTTTTTTTAGTGGGAAATAATTGTACATACATTCACCTTTTTATAGTTTATACTAACAATCAGATTGTCGTACAACAGGTCACATATTGTTACACGATAAATGACAATACTGCAATAAAGGATTATCTTTTGAACGTATATATAGCGCAGAACAGGAGCGACCGTCAAGGTTACACAAGCTGCTGATAACCTCCGGCCATCAGGCAGCTAATCAAAATTTCAAGGAGCGATCTAGGGGACGATCATCACATGTCAATCAGCCAATCAAATCACGAATTTCAATAAATATGAATGTGCAAAAAAATGATCGAAACGAATTGAAAACGAAACTTAGATGCAAAAGATCAAAATAAATCACTTGGATCTTATTATTAAATGAGCAAGCATGTCTTTATTAAGTTAATTAATAACTTTAAACTATCGTTCCTTATAGAAACTAAATGTTTATTGATACATCTGGTCGTAT